TGATGTGTCTGTAGATACACAGCTCATAAATTTCAGAGATCTAACTTAAACCTGTGTCTTCTGACCTCTATAATGGATGTCAAGTTTAGTCATCTTTCTACTATGCATACAACATGGAGTTGTTTTGGAAAAGTGCTTAAACCACTATACAAATGAGTGCTATTATTCGTATGTCTCTATCACTTAAAATTCTATCTTATAGTTTGCATTGTATCCCCCAATGAATCATTAAGCTCCTCAAAATCAGGGATTGTCTTAGCTAAAATTCATGATTCTCCCAACATTGCATAGTGTTCTGTACGCAATGTCTCATTGATAGATGCTCACTGAACCTGTTGATTTTGTTGAAATCCTCCCAATATATGATTGAGATGTTTTATAATGACTCACTAGATTAAAAATGGTATTTTCGTTGTCATTTATCATGTATTAATATGTTGAAAGTGTCTATAGGAAGAACATAATTGAAAAATGAATAATAATGATGTGAATGAATGAGAAGGAAGGGAAATGCCTTGATTTGTGGTCAGCTGCCTAAAATTTAGGGATCCAAACCATTTTTTCACATTGTCTCAGATTCCCTGAGTCCTAATTTTAGTGCAAAATGACTAGTACAATCATCTTCCTCCCCCCAAAAAAGTGATGAAAAAAAGCTTCATGTTCTGGTCAAGAGAATACATTAACAGTTTTCTTGGTCTGAGAGTCAGGGTTAAATTTCATACTCTCTTTATTCAAGCAGCCCAATGCCTAGGAATATACTTATTTAGTTTTTTTGTTTGTTTTCTTTGCCAAAAAAAAATTGTTACATTAGAAGTGACAGAACAAAATGACTAATGGAGTTGATGCCCACAATATATAAGCAGATAGAAAGAAATTCCTTAACCATACCTGATGAATACATTTCTCTTGGCCTTGAAAACTATATCCTTAGGGCCTGAAAGAACTGGCGGATGTGATTGCTGAGCCACTGTAGGCAATATTTGAAAAATCATGGAAAATGAGAGAGATATTTCAAGATTGGAAAAGGGGAAATGTCCTGATTTTCAAAAAAAAAATGGACAAAAGAAAAATTTGCACATTGTAGGCCACAAGGGACTTGACTTTTGTTCTTGGGGAAATTTCAGCATGGATCATTTAAGAAATAGTTAGCAGATATCTAAAAAAGGGAAGCAGTGATTACAAAAACCCATTCATCAAAATTCATCAAAAATGGGTCATTCCAAATATTAACATCATTTCCTTTTTCCACAAGATTACAAAACTCAGAGATGAAGAGAATTCTGTAGATGTAGTTAACCTAGATTCTGGCAAAGTCTTTGATAAGGTATCTCATATTATTCCTGGAGAGAAGATGAGTAGATATGGATAATACAATCAGATTGACTGCAAACTGCTTGAATGGATAGACCCAAAGAGTAGTTGTTAATTATGCAATTCATCATATTAGGAGGTTTCCAGTAGAGTACCACAGGGATCCATTTTGGGCACTATGCTGTTGACAATTTTTATCAAGAACTTGGATAAAAGCAAAAATGACATACTCATCAAATTTGCCAATGACACAGAGCTGGGTGGGATAGGTAATACAGTATATCAAAGACTCGGAGTCCAAAAAGAATCTAAGAAGATTATAAATTCAGTAGAGATGGATGTAAAGTTGTTTAATTGGATACAAAAAAATCAATTTCACAAGTATGAGATTAATGAGTCATGGTTAGGCAGCAGTTCTGAAAATAATTTGGACATTTCAGTGAGCTGCAAGCTCGATGTGAGTCAGTAGTGTGCTGTGGCAACTAAAAAAACTAATCCTGAGCTAATGGGAGGAGGGAGATGAGAGTCCCACTCTCCTCTGCCCCCAGAAGAGTATTGACCTCATCTGTAGTATTGGGTTCAGTTCTGAGTGCCTTGATTAGCAAAGGATATTGATAAGCTACAAAGTGTCAAAAGGAGGGCAAAGAGATGAATGAAGTTCAGGTCAAGTGGGGATTAGTTGAAGGAAGTGGGCATGTTTAGCTTAGAGAAGACCCAGGGCAAGCAATGTGATCACTGTCTTAAGGCTGACACGTATAGCAGGGATTAGATTTTTTGTTTGTTTGTTTGGTTGGTTGGTTGGTTGGTTGGTTGGTTGGTTTGGCTCCAAAAGGCAGAACCAAAAGCATGGGAGGATGCAAAGAGGCCAATTTAGGCTCAATACCAGGAAAAAATTTCGAAACAATCAGAACTGCCTGAAAGTGGAACACATTATCTCAAGATGCCATAGGTTTCCTCTCCTGGGAGGACTTTAAACAGGCTAGACAACCACTGGCTGGGTGTGTCACAATACATGAATTCCTATGAATTAGACTAACGGACCCCTGAGATCTTTTCTAACTCTCAGATTATGTGATTCTGTGAAGATCATTATACAAATAAATGCCTGGAAGCTACATCTTCGTATGTGGTATACCATGCTATTTTCTTGGTATTTGATCTTTCATGATATTTCCATTTCATCCAAATCAGTCTTTTCACATGAAAGAACATTTTAGGGAAATTATGTGCAAGAGAAAAAAAATAGGACAACATTCACTCTGATGCTACATATAAAACAAATATAAATTTTAAATTGTTTCAATTTAAATAACTGACTAAAAAGTACATGGTTTCCTTTATTATCTTTATTAGTCTAGTAGAGGGTGGCAAGGCTATTTCCTAGTGAAAGCTATTATTGTGACATAGATAGTTGATTCTAGAAAATCTAGAGCAATTCAGAAATTGTGCCTTCAAGTACATGAAGATTTCTATGCCTTTATTACTGTAGTAAATCTATCTAGCATAGTATACTACTTTTTTAACCAAAATTGTGATTTTATTAGAATGGGAAATTCCTGGAGAGGCTTTGTCTACCCACACATGCTCATAGAAGCTCTGCAACTTATAATTTTAGAAGGTTCCCCAAGGGGTTAAGTGACTTCATCAGGGTCACACAGCCAGCATGTGTCAGAAAAGAGATTTGAACCTATGTCCTTCTAACTCCAAAACTAGTTCTTAAAACATTAGGCCATGCTCTCTCTTGTTGGGCTACATGGGGGTGTTATAAATAATACATGGAATAGCAGAGTTGAAACTAGATATGAATGTTTAAAATACCTTGGTGCCCCTAAAGAAAATGTACTATCTATATGTAAATGTAATCATGATAGAGTAATTATGAAAAACTTCTATAGATGAGCCATTGTAATAAAGAATCAACATATTGTCAACCAACAGGCCAGGACAGTGAAGCATCTTTCCTCTCTTTCTTCGTTTTCTCTACCCCTTTCTTAGGACAGAGTTTGGGTGAGTGAGCAGGCTGAGGATGGAACTTCTTACAGTTCTTGTGTGGAAATTTGACTTCTGGTTACTGCCAGACTTGGGAGCACATCTCATTGCTTAATGCAGATACAAGCTGCTGACTCCTCTATCACTAGTCCAGAGGTCCATAGGACTTAGATTACATTTATTCTGGCTGAATTTACTATAAATTGCAATTATTTGCCTTTTAATCGTGCTGGTTTGTCTAATGTAGTCAAATCTATATATTTAGTACAGTTGTCCTTAACCTAGCATCTGTGAACATTTTATTAAAATATTTTGATGGTTATATTTCACTATAGTTGGTTTTATTTTTAATCCTATATGTTTAATTTTATACATTTAAAACATTATTCTAAGAAGGGGCCCATAGGTTACACCCCACTGAAAAGCAATGCATGACACAAAAGTGGTTAAGATCTCTGTCTATCTATCTGTCTATCTATCCATCCATCTACTTATCTGTCTGTCTATCTAACTATCATAATGTATTGTTTTTATCTGTACATAAATGTTCACTATGTGGTACTGTTTATCTGTCATCTGGCTATCTTTGAGTGAATGAATGAAAAAGCATCTATTAAGCATATACTATTTGTCAAACACAATGCTAAGTGCTAGGCCCACAAATAAGAACACAAAATCTTTGTTCTTAAAGACTTCATACTCTGATTACAGGAGACAATACATATAGGTGGATTCAGCTTTGGGGTAGATGGCTATTCTATCAGTCTCTAAAAGTTATTTAAGCCTTTAAAAATGATATATGTGAATATTTTTTGTGGCTGAGTCATTTCAGTTGTATCTGACTCACCATGACTCCATTTGGGGTTTTCTTGGCAGAGATACTGAGTGGTTTGCCATTTCCTTCTCCAGCTCATTTTACAGATGAGGAAACCGAGGCAAAGAACACTGATTTGCCCAGAGTCACACAGCTAGTAAGTGTCTGAGGCCAGATTTGAACTCAGGAAGATGAGTCTTCCTGATTCCAGGCCCAGCACTCTATCCACTCTACAGTGGATAGCAGGCCCATACGTGAATATAGATACACACACACATATACACTTTCCTTTGCATATACATATCTATGTATGTATGTATTTATGTATGTAGTAGAAATGACTACTCAGAAATTCTTCTCTCAACTGTATGCAGATCTCTAAAATACAGAGTATCTGCTGGAAATGCACATAGTTTAGTCTACATATATACACATAGATCATTCTTAAAGGTTTAATGAGTTTAGGGAAGTCTGTCCTGGTATATCCTCACCTTGTAACTTACCTGGATCTATTAATTGAGTTCTGAAAATAGATTGTAGGCTCTTTAATGTCATCAACCACATTTATGCTCTTTAATATCATCAACCACATTCCCAGTTTAAAAAGTACTTTCCCCCAATAATGCAGTAAAGTATTACAAGTTCAGTGTTTTTCCTCTAGCTCCTGTGTAGCTTTCAAAGTGCCAGCTCTCAACCCCATAGTTCTTAGTCCTAGGACCCACATAAAATTTCCACAGGAAAAGACTCATTCTTTATCAGTTGTCAAATAAAATCTACAGAGAGCTGTTGAATGTTCATTATTTAAAAAGCACCTAGTTTTAGGAGTTGCCTCATTTGCATGCATGTCCTTTGATTTCTGACTGAAGCATGATGTATTCACCTACAGGAACTTCAAAGGGACATAGAGAAACACAGCACTGGTGTTGCATCAGTACTGAATCTGTGTGAGGTACTTCTCCATGACTGTGACGCATGTGCTACTGAAACAGAATGTGACTCCATTCAGCAGGCAACACGGAACCTAGACAGACGATGGAGAAATATCTGTGCAATGTCTATGGAAAGAAGACTCAAGTAAGGAGGCTACTTTAACTGTTTACAAAAGAGAATACCCTCCCCACAATCCCCTCAACCCCCCATACACGTTATTTGGTATAAAAATGTGTCACTATTCCCTAATGCTTGCAAAGCTAGAAAACATTTTTGATACCTCAGTTTTACTATAGCCTAGAGTGGGGCTGGTATGAGCGTGCAGAAAGGAACATAACCTTAACAAGCCAAGTTATTACTTCCTTAACTAGATCATTTACATTTGGAAAAATGTGACTTTGCCAAAAGGTCTTTGCTAAAAAGGAACATTCACTTTTTACAATGAAAATGTAACAAGTCGAAGACGATTTATCTCCCAGCTCTTGAAACTTTAAAGTACTGAAAAACATCAAGGTGTTAGGTAAAGAGTGGAATGACTTTAAACCCCAGTTTCAATGCTTTCTGGTCAGCTTTGCCCAGGAAAAATGATTATTCAGTTGCAAAAACATCCATTTTGTGAGGGTGACCCTGATCTTATGTTGGACTGCAGTTCTCAAACCTTATTTTTATTTTATTAGAATATTGGCATAAATGTAGACTGTAAACATAGGGTTGCATTTATAAACCTCTTTTATACAGACTCAGTGGAGCTCATATTTCTTGCTTACAGTATTCTGTTCTATAAATTCCAAATCCAGGGCTTCAGGACATAGAAAAAAAAACCACAGCTGTTTTATTTTAGCTTGAGCAGTTGTCTGTTTTCACCCTGGTCAAATTTGGGGTAAGGCACAGTTATTGTTTGGCACAACAGTTGCTTGTTTGGTCCCTCTCAGTCCTGTAGCTGTTGTCTTGCTCCCAAGCACCGCTCTTGTTTGTAAACAGTCTTGAACGATTAAATTCTGATACTTTTTTTTTGGTCACAGAATTGAAGAGACCTGGCGATTGTGGCAGAAGTTTCTGGATGACTATTCACGCTTTGAAGACTGGCTAAAGCTTTCTGAGAAGACTGCTGCCTTCCCCAGCTCTTCTGGGGTGCTGTATACAGTTGCTAAGGAAGAGCTCAAGAAATTCGAGGTGACTTACAAAGCTTGAAATTCAATATCTACTTATCCGGTTACAGCAGCCAACTGGTTGTCTCTTTGTTCCGGGGCAGAAACTGTTCACTAAATGCATTCTCAAATCATACAACTAAGTTGGTAACTGGACAGCTATCATCTATACTATTTTACAGTTTTGTATGTATGATGAACACTTTTTTTTAATTAAAAATCATAAAAGTTGCTAAATAAGTTGGTTGGTCTAGTCATCAGGCATCAGAATTGTGATGTTTCACTTAAGCATTTGGTTAAGGGAGAGATTTTAAAAGTAACATCAAGCATCATGGATACACAGAAACAAGCCGTGTTCCATGTTCTGTTTGAAAATACTCCCTCACCATTTTTCTTTTCTGAGAAACTTTTCAGTGCTATAAAGAAATCACAAATAAAATCCCATATTTGTTTAATTGTAGCTGATACATTCAAAGTGTTTTTAATGATAAACAGGGGTTTTTGCCCCTTATTTTCAGCCAAACATTTTAGTCATGATCCACTTATTATAATAAAAATTGGGTTGTACTTGGCATTTGTTTGATTAAGGTTGGGGTGAAAAAGTGAAGATGAAAAAACAATGGTATAATAATAATTCATTAAGAATGGAGTCATTCAATAATTTCTTCCAGGTCTGCTGCCATTTCTCAAACCTCCGTCCATTCCATCAGTTGCTATTTAATGAAACATTCATTTTCCAACCCTTCAGCTGTCTCCCATTTTCACAGCTGAACATTATTTATTTCAATTTGATGTGACTCCTCTCCCTTTATTTGATATTAATGGACAGATAGGAAGGAATAATTACTAATGAAAAATAAAAATAAAAAGCCTAGACCCTCAGCTAATCATTTAAAGCATTTTTCTTACTCAAATCAGTTGCAATTGAAGTTATTTTGCCTTTGAATGTTCAAATACTAAAAAATAGGACCACAAACCTAAACTCTATTGCTTTAATTTCTCTGAATACTTGAGTGTTTAGAGAGACATAAAGAAAACACTTACTTCCTTTGAGGAGCATATAATGTAATAGAGAAAAGGTAAGATATACATAGAAAGTCAGAAGAATGTATAGAAAGGAGGCATATAAACACCTAGTGGAATGTGACACATAAGTTTTATGTGGTCACAACCCACAGTTTAAGAAGCACTGATAGGGACGGTGAGTGGAAAAAGTTTCAGAAGTCTTGCACTAAATCATAGAAAATTTGCTCCCCTACCAGTCCTAATTCCTCTTAGAACCAAAAGCTTTGAAAATGGTACCAAGTTCTTTAAGAGACTTTGTACCATCTCATGAGAACCCTGAGATTATTGTGAAATCTTACTATAAAAAGGTACATTGCAGTCAGTTTGCATTCAGGGTAAAATCTTTTGTGGTTGTCTTATCCTAGTATAACAGTAATTTTAGATAATGTTTTATGCTATTTCTTGCTCCTTTTATGATATGTTATTCTGTGATTAGCTTAAATAAGTTAATATGCTTGAGCCCTGGAGCTTTTTTTTTTTTGAGGTAATGGGGTGAAGTCATTTGCCCAGGGTCACACAGTTAGTAAGTGTCAAGTGTCTGAAGGCAGATATGAACTCAGGTCTTCCTGAATCCAGGGCCATTATTTTATCCAGCCACAGGCCACTGCGCCATCTAGCTACCCCTGGAGCTTTTCTTAAGCAAGATAAATAATTATAAAATTAAATAAACAACAAAAAGAAAGAATGAAATTTTTTGTTGATGGAAAATGTGCAATAACATTTGTTAAGGGAATTCAAGTGTGTAGGAAGGTCCCATGAGATGGGGAGGGTTACCTACTCATAACATAGCATCACTTCTTTTTTGAGTAAATAGATATCTTTCTCTATTCAAGGGTATCAAATGCTATGTCCTCCTTCCTACGTTTTTGTAAGGGAGAAATACAAATCATTAAGGGGTGGAAAATAAGTAGAGTAATTATACATGAAAGAGTAATAAGAGTCTCAAAGAAGTATAATTTTAGGGATAGAAATTTGGCAGAACTCTAAATGATAAAATACATTAATGGTGGCCATGAGATTCAAATGTACATGCTAATTAATGATTGAATTGTCTTCCTCTTGCCTGGTCAAGAAGTAACAAAAGAGGGGCAGCTATGTGGCACAGTGGATAGAGCACCCGCCCTGAATTCAGGAGGAACTGAATTCAAATCCGGCCTCAGCCCAAAGACTTGACACTTACTAGCTGTGTGACCCTGGACAAGTCTCTTAACCCCAACTGCCAAAAAAAAAAAAAGAAGAAACAAAAGTTATATGCTTTGGTTTCATGTTGAAATGCCATAAGCTGATCATTAAATTAATACCATAGACTACATTTTTAAAGGACAGATAGAATGTCTAATAGTGCATATTATGCAATATGTATAAGGATTCTTCAGACATCAGCTAGAATATAAAGTTATTCTAATTAAATGTCCATGGTTAAAAAAATCGCTGGGTATATTTAAATTTTTGTAAAGCCACAAGAATGATCTATACATATCACCAGATAGATTTATCTGAAAATATTGTTTTTAAAAATTCCATCACAATTTAAAATTAATTTGTATATCTATGGATATATTTATGGAAATTTATAAATAACTGTACCTTCCCCAACTGCCTATTTAACTTTTATTTTATGAGCACAAGTATTCCAGAACTAAGTAATTTCTGAATCATATCTTGATTTTTAGGAAATTTGTTGAACAAATGAGTATTTGTTTTTAGTTCTCTCTTTTGCCTGATTTTCTACCAAAAAAGATGCCAAGCATTTTAAAATCATATACTAGATATTTAAATTCACTGAATTATTGAAGTCAAGGGTAATTCACTTTTCATTCTGTTTTTCTTATCTGTTTGCTTCATGGTATGAACAAACTTGTTGCCCCAAATGAATTTCCATTTGTATTTTATTTATAATCTTTAGAAGGAAACAGCCAACCAATATTTTTGTTATAATTACTAAAGAAAATTGAATTGCCATACTGTTCAAAGAAAAATCTTACATTACCTTTTTATTTATTGAAGTATTCTATCTTTTCCCCAATATGACCTGATTTCCAGCTCATTCCCCTTCAAATCCTAATAAGACATTAAATTCTTGAAATTGGATAGGGCTATCACTTTTTGATAGCTTTCCCAAATTAACCCTATGGAGGTAACATATTTGAAAAGACAGTCAATAAGAGATGAAAGGTAGCGCATTCATAATGTGTTCAGTACTCAAAGGATCTATGATTTCATCAATGTGGGTACTGTCCCTATTGATGTTCAATTGTATCCAAATCTTCCTGATCCCATTTGAGGTCTTCTTGGCAGAGATATTAAAGTGGTTTGCCATTTCCTTCTCCAGCTCATTTTACAGATGAGGAAACTGAGGCAAACAGGCCCAGGGTCACACAGCTAGTAAGTATCTGAGACCAGATTTAAACTCAGGAAGCTGAGTCTTCCTGAATCCAATCCTGGCACTCTATCCTCTGTATCACCTAGCTGCTGTGGCAGGAGCAGAGGGTGGAGACTTCTATCTGGTGTCCAACTTTCTGATGATAGGCCTCCCCAGACTTAACTCAGTTAATCCCTTAGGCAATAGATATAGATTTCATTACTGCACCCATACTCAATCTTTCTAGCACCTTCCATATCTTTCCATTTATAAGAATAGCCTTTGAGAAGCCATAGTCACCTTTAGCAGAGAAGCATTTTTAACTGGTTATTGGATATCTTAACACTTCATCTGTAAGTGAAACACATTGTCATTAGAATTTGTACTTTGTTCTTAAATAAATAGTAAAATGTAACCTGCCCCCACACTTGTGACAAAAAGAAGGAAACCAACAGACTTTTATGGAGAACTTTTCACATGATAGCATTTTGATATTATTCCTGTCTTGTTCTGTGGTGTCAGGCTTTCCAGCGACAAGTCCATGAAAGTCTTACTCAACTGGAACTCATCAATAAACAGTATAGACGCTTGGCCCGTGAGAATCGTACTGACTCTGCTTGTAGCTTGAAACAGATGGTCCATGAAGGCAACCAAAGATGGGACAATTTACAAAAGCGTGTCACCTCCATCTTGCGCAGACTCAAGGTGTTTCTCATGCTTTATTCTTAACTTGGAGATGCTGTGGGCAAGCACAGAGCTATCAGAAAGGAGTTTGTTATATATCTCTAATTTTACTATATTGGGATGGGTTAAGGGACAAGAAGGAAAAAGGTAGGGACATTTCTACTTAGTGATCTGGAGTAAGGATTCTTACCTTGGGTCTTTGAAATTTTTTTTTAAGATTTTGATCACTATATTTCAACAAAATTAGTTTCCTTTGTAATCTTACATATTTTACGAATTTTAAAACATTATTCTGAGATGGGGTACGTAGGTTTCACCAGACTGCCCACCCAGTTAAGAACCCCTGATCTATAGGCTTACATTAGGAAAATAGACATTGATCACACATTAACGTTATTTTCCTTTTCCTCTCAGCATTTCATTGGCCAACGTGAAGAGTTTGAGACAGCTCGTGATAGCATTCTGGTCTGGCTAACAGAGATGGATCTGCAGCTCACAAACATTGAACATTTTTCAGAATGTGATGTTCAAGCCAAAATAAAACAACTCAGGGTAAGAAATTGTGTGTGGCTCAGATCTTCCATGGGAGAGAGATAAAAAGAAGATTCATGGAAGCTTAGTTCTCTGGTACCTCTTTTGTACATCCGAATGAAGAAGACAAGAAAGAGGCCCATAACTGTTTTTACTTGGTATCAGGACTGACAGCAATCTGCTAGTTAATATTTTTTAAATGGAATCTACTGAATCACTGTACAACTTGTGCAATGATTCTTTTAATCTCTCTGCAATGTTTCATTGAGTTTTCAGGTGACATTTTTTTTCTTGTCTAAACTGCTAGTTAATTTTTTGTCCTGATCATTTCAAATATTTATAATGTAAAATAATCCTTCCATTCAAAGATAAACCTTGTAATTCTTCATTACAACTTATGACAGAATAAGAGGAAATTAGTCAAATTCGGAAGAGGAAGGTCTCAATAAGGTAAGAGAAGAATTTTTGATAGGAAGAGTTGATATGCACTTAAATGATTTACCAAGAGGGGTTGTGGAGACTTCTCAAGGGATTTTTAAGTGCCTCAGTACTTAATGGTCTAGCATAGCCTAAGGGAAATCTACACAATATCAAGATGATGCATTATATATTATCTCAATCATACCATTATCCTGTGATCATAGAAAATTATCATACTACACATTAACATATTGTATTAGCATTAAACTTCTGAAAAGGTTTTGTTTATTTGTTTACTCATTTGTTTTCCGGGGCATTAGTTATCATCCAACTGATTTATTCCCTACTTGTTGCCGGCATTGTGTAGGAAAGTTTTATTTTTTTAACCATATTTATTACTTCTTTAAAATACTCTAATTCAGTTACATTGCTCTGAATATCTGCTTTACATCATAGGAGTTGATGGAAAATATCTTCAGTTGGCTTCCAAGGCTATTTTTCTCAGATTCTATAAGAAAGCAGATAGATGTTGATAGACAGCATGGTACAGGGGGAAGAGCACTAATTCTGGCCAAGATGGAAAGACTTGATGCTGGCCCACCTGATGCATTTCTATCATTTGCTACCCATGTGACTTGGACAAGTGACATAACATCTCTGGGCCTCAGTTTCCTCACTATACAATCAGGGACTTGCAGTAGATGACTGATAAGTTCCTTTCTATCTCTGAATCTATGCCCCTATTATACAAAAGTGCATTAAGTAGCTATAATTAAGGGGGTTTTTTGGTTACTGTTTGTTTTTCTCATTCACTCAAGGGAGAGTTATATTTAATGAAAGCTGGTGGTTTCAACTCCTGGCACCTGAATCTGGCTTTATGTTTTCATTGTCTATTCTAGGAGGTCTCTGGCAGTCTCCAATTATGTCTGTGCAGAGTAAATATAATAGACTCATGGCCAAATTCCCTATAATGAACTAAAATATGTAAACAATTCATAATGATTTCACATGAATTTGTGCAATGACATTTACATGCGGTTTTTATGCTGTTTAGGCATTCCAACAGGAAATTTCACTGAACCACCATAAAATTGAGCAGATAATTGCCCAAGGAGAACAATTGATTGAAAAGAGTGAACCACTGGATGCAGCTGTCATTGAAGAAGAACTGGATGAACTCCGACGTTACTGTCAGGAAGTCTTTGGTCGTGTGGAACGATACCATAAGAAATTGATTCGCCTTCCTGTATGTAGCATTCAAAGCTCTTATTAATAACACCATGAATTTTGTTAAGTGGATTCAACTCTTGTCAGAGAGAGATATGGAGACCTACCAAAGGGTCAAAATAGAGCGATAATTGGCTAGGGGAAAAAAGTAGCTCAATGGAAGAGTCATGATAACAAAATGTAGGTGTATCTTTTTCTCTCTGAAAACTAGTATTTTCGTGTTTGAAGATCTAGAAGCTACCGAAATTATATGTATGTGGTGGGAAAAGGGTGGGCTGTATGTGTGTGTCTATAAATGTTAGAGGTGAGCTTGGATTTTGCTAGTATGTCTGTTCATTTGTTACATCCTTGTGTTCTATGTGAATTCAGATATTAAGCTAAAGATTGCCGCTGTTTATTCTCGTATGCAGTTTATACTTTTCAGATTAAGCTAAAGACATGGCATGGGGGTAGGGGTGGGAGGGTGGGGCGGGGAATGCACAGGTGAAGATTGGAAGCTAAGCAGAAGAGAAATAGAAAAGATAGTCTAAAAACAAAATCAATATGGCTGGTGTCACTTTTACTTTCAGCTGACAGATGATGAGCATGACTTGTCTGACAGAGAGCTGGACCTGGATGAATCGGCAGATCTCTCTGACATCCATTGGCATGACAAGTCTGCAGACAGCGTGCTTTCCCCGCATCCATTCTCCAACCTCTCACTTTCACTCCCCCAACCTCTCCGAAGTGAGAGGTCAGGACGAGATACTCCTGCAAGTGTGGACTCCATCCCTCTAGAGTGGGATCATGACTATGACCTCAGTCGTGACCTAGAATCAGCAGTTTCAAGAACTCTAATATCCGAGGACGAAGAGGGTCAAGAAGACAAAGATTTCTACCTCCGGGGAGCTATTGGTTTAGCAGGTAAGAGCACTTATTTTAAGGAAAGTGGAAAGAAATCTAAATCCCAGCAAAGGTGTACAAATGATCCTGGATTTAGAGGCCTACCTAACACCATTTTCTTTCCTGTAAAATCAGTGAGATTTGCTCATGAGGGCACAATTAATCCTGTATTTGACTAGCAGTTACTAAAGGGGAATGGTCATATGTTAACCTTTATAAATGTTGGATTCATTTCTAGGGGAGATTCCTATGACTCTCTTCTTTTCCTTTGATAGCTAATAATTAATAACCCAGATGTCTGACTGTTCTGAAAAGAAATACTGTTGCTCTGATTTACGGCTCTTCACTACAGGAGGCATTCTGGAAGTGAAATTCTTTCTTTGTATTCCAAAGGATTCATAATGTAAATTAGAACTGATAACTTGCTTTTTTTTTCCCCCTCCCTCCCAGGAAAAATATTTCCTCCGTAAGGAGAATGAACTTTCCAGTGCTTAGAAATCAACTTAGACTGTGCTTTTTTTGCAGATGTAGTGATCCCAGAAAGCCCTGAGGCCTATGTAAAACTCACAGAAAATGCAATCAGAAATACCTCTGGTAGGCACGAAAACAGCCTGAGCATAGCGAGAACCAAGTTCCTCACCCATACCTGTAACAATCTCCTTCTCTTAGCACATCTGCCCAACCTTGCTCAGCTTATGGCACAAGCATGTTCATGTAGAACTCTTCTCTCTTATCTCTCTGCTGGAAGATACTTGTCTAGTTACTCATTATCAAGAGAATAGATTTTCAAGATGAGATATGGCACCTTCTCAACATATGAGAAACTAACAACTTTTATCAAGGACAAAGAAAGATGGTCTTTAGCCTTTTGCAGGTATAATAGCAGCAGGTTACAGAGTGTAGTGGAATGAGCAATGGGCTAGGGGAGTCATGAGTTCCTAGATGTGGTTAACTGCTGACGTAAGCTTGGGTAAGACAGACTTTCAGCATCTCAGTTTTCTCATCTGCAAAATCAGAAATGCTAGCCTTGTTGGTCCCTAAGATCCTATTTTTGGTGCTTTAAAATTTTAATTCATTAATTCTGTTAAGTTAAAGAATTCTAGTTCAGTGATCCATTTTATAACATCTGGAGCCCTGGGTTTTCTTTAAAGAGAAACAGATTTCTTAATGAAATTTTCATGGCGGGGGGGGGGAGAGAGAGAGAGAGAGAGAGAGAGAGAGAGAGAGAGAGAGAGAGAGAGAGAGAGAGAAATTTCTTACCAGGCTAATAGGAACTGGCTGAAAGTCAGTAACTTTCAAGAAGGTGAAGAATTGGGTTTAAATTACAGTGTTAATAGTTTACCAATAATGAGAGATACAAGGACCAAATCATGTAAAATAACTGAATTTAAAAAAAAAAGAAAAAGAGCTTGATTTTGGGGAGACAGTGGTATGGTGGAAATTGAGCTGAATTTGGAGTCAGAGGAACTGACTTTAGATGTCAGCTCTGACTCTTAATATTTGCATGACCTTGATCAAGTTACAGTACCTATCATTTGCATCTTAATTTTCTCCTCTGTAAAATGAGGGGATTTAGACAATCTCTAAAGTCCTATATAGATCGAAATCTAGAATCCCATATAACTAATTCCATGTTGGATAGAATTTAAAATACATTTAAAATAATTTAAATTATTTTATACTTAAAATAATAATTTTCTAGTTAAAAATGCCAGTTGATTCTATAACAATTGTGTATTGGTGAATGGTGCTACCATTTAGATCATGGGCTATATAGCAAAGACTTTTCCTTTTTTTTTTTCTTTGCAAAAAGTGTTACAACTTGAATAGTAGAGGCAAAGGATCCAGCATTCTCAAGAGCATGTGACAGCATGACTGTCTGATTGGCAAAAGCTTTTCTCTCTCTTGGCCTTCTTTCAGATTTTGAATACAAGCCACTTACGTCTACTTTATGGTGCCTTAATCAAAACTTTATTTTTTTTCTCCTTAAAGAAATAATGCAGTTGCGCTGTTTCCCCAGACTGATATGTAAGGACAAAATAATGCAAGATATGGACTCTCTCTATTCTCTAAGAAAATTGATGAGAAGCAATTTTCCCTTACTTGAAAAGGGAAATGTGGACTCCATTGCAGTATTTCATGTATGTTTAATGAGGCCCATTGAGAATCCAGTTTCTCAGAGGATAAGACCAGAAAAGGGTGAAGAGTCACAAGTGTTTTCAGAACAGATTGCAAAACTATCCGCACAACTATCAAGGTCTTCACCAGTGCTATTAGGGGAAAAAAATCACTTAGATTAACTATTTTTCTTAAAAACATAAAAAATAAAAAATAAAAATTCTAACACATGAGCATGTCACTACTAAATTTGCTTTATAATTCCCTCACATGCCATTTTCATGCTTCCTTATCTGAGAATAAATCCTTAAACTTTTCTATAAATGTAAAAGTTGGACTGGGAAAAAAATCATGCTAAAGATCACTTTTGTTATGGTCACTCTAGGTGAGCCAGGAGCCTTAGAATCACATATCCGACAGCTTGATAAAGCCCTAGATGCCAGCCGTTTTCAGATGCAGCAAACAGAAAATATCATCCGTAGCAAAACACCCACCGGACCTGAATTAGATGCTACTTATAAAGGATATGTGAGTATCATGATTATCATTGCTCATAATCCCTTGAAAAAAATCTCTGGGACAAAATATAGTGTGTTTAAAGTCCAAGAACTTTGTCAGTTTTCTAAATACCATGCCTCCCTTGATCACATAGCCATAAAGTATCACTGAAAAAAGCAACCCTATATGATTGCCTTTTGTATACCTCTATTTTACTTTTAGCTTTTATTTTAAACTTAAACTGTATAAACTTAAAACTTTTATCTTTGTGTGTGTGTGTGTGTGTGTGTGTGTGTGTGTGTGTGTGAGGCAGTTGGGGTTAAGTGACTTGTGCAGAGTCACACAGCTAGTAAGTGTCAAGTATCTGAGGTTGGATTTGAGCTTGGGTCCTCCTGACTCCAAGGCCACTGTTCTATCTACTGCACCGCCTAGCTGCTGCCTACTTTTAAACTTGCTAAATATATCATCATCTTCATCCTATCCTGACTTGTTCAATATCTCTTGAGATTTATTTTAATGAAAGTTACTCGATGCTTCAGGACCAAGTTGTTATTTGGTTCATTTCTCAATTCAAATGATGATTTCTTAAACCAAGTTTATCGATGAGGCATGAAATTACTGTTTCCTCTTCTGGCTATACTAATTCACTTAATTATCCTTAATAAAATGTTTATTCTGGATGTTTTAATATCTTTCATGTGCCAGAGAAAATAATGCTGACATTTGCAACATGATGGACCATGTTGACCAAGTGAGCTAGTAAAGAACAGCACAATACACTACTATTTCTGTTATTACCTATTGTTTGCACCACTATGGGTAACTCTACAATAACATCACTTAGCTCTGGTGGCAATGAAGACATTTTTTCCAGGGAATTTGCTACTCCCTGTCTGTCACCAACTAAAGAACAAAAGCACCTTTGTCTTTTCTGCTTTGAACTTCTTGCTACTTACATCCAAAAGACCCCTCAGAAACATTGGGAAATACAAATTACAAAGTTCACAGCAGCTATCCCACTGTATATTTGTTCTTCTTAAGCTTAGCAAATAATAGACACTTAACATATACTTTCAGCTGACTGGTTGAGGACAAGGATGGGAATGAGCCTAGCTAATGTGTATTGGAGTTCATAGCTTTCTTAATAGTGGTAAAAAAAAAAAAAGTCCTATCAGTTCACAAGTTTCATTTTGCTCCACTTTAGCTGATAAAGCTGTTGCCCTATCCTTTTACAAATAGAATATAATTTGTTGTGGCTATCATGAGACTGAGAAACAGGAAGAAGCAAGAGAGAGAATATGCCTGAGAGTGTCAAAGATTTGGATTCAAGTCCTGCCTTTCATAGATCCTAAATGTGTGACCATGGGCAGATCACTCAACTCTTGATATCCCCCAGCAACAGTGTGGTATTCTGAATTACATATGTGAGTTACTGACCTGCCCTAGCAGAAAAAAATTCCAACCCTGGGAGCTCTTCTCACACTCATCTGGACCCTACTGAATAATCAATTTGGGGACTACTAAGTATATTTATAAAGCCCATTGAAGAGGAGAAGTTAGTTTGGTGACACTCCATCAAGGACTCTGAAAATAATGCTTTGTGGTCAGTGCAGCACTGAAATTATCCATTTCCTTCTTTTTGAAGTGTTGGCAGCATTAAAAATGGAATTAAAATGAGAGTAGAATCCAAGCCTTCAAATATATCATACGTTATTTTAATGTTCTCAGAAAATGCCATGAAATCCTAATGTCAGTGTGCCTTTTATGCTTTCCAAACACTTTAATCAGTCAATGCATAAAATGCTCCTGGGCGATTTGGGGGGAGCTTTGTCCTTCCCACTTCAGAGTTAAAGAAATTGGAAGATTAAATCACCTGCTAAGATAATATGGTATGTTCCAGGTTCCAGGGTGAGTTTGAACATCTCAGTTCACGTCCTAGTTCACTAGGCTACATATTCAGTCCATAATTTCAAAGGGAATCTCGAGGACATATGCAACTTGATGTACATTACATATGCTTTAAAGTATTTTTTGGCCTGTAGAAACCTACATACATACATATACAAAAGCCATCTGTGCATCATTCAAATAACAGACTAATAATATTTATTCAGTAGAGACTGTGTCACATAGTGGATAGAGAATAAGTCTTGAAGCCATGAAGACCTGGGTTCAAGTCTTGTCTCTTGACACATATCAACTGTGCCTTTGGGCAAGTCACTTAAATTCCAGGTGTTTTGGGAAAGTGGTTTCAAACTCAAATAGAAGTGGGTGCTACTGAGCTATCCATCAAGTTCCCTGCAGGCTGCCTACTGATTTAGTTTTAAAATGTAACATTGACTGTGTTTTATTGTATTTTTATGTATTCTGTTAACTGTTTCCCAATTACATTTGGACCAAGAGTGTTGCAGACTGAAGACCAAAAATTTGATATCTCTGCTTTAGGCAACTTTCTAAAACAATTAGTTAAAGAGAAGGTACTAACCTGTATTGGTAGAGTCCAGCCCCTATCCTCTATCCCTATGAATTCAGCAGCTATTTATTGAAACACCTGCTATGTGCATAGCATTGCAGGAGGTACAAGAAGAAGGTGTGGACTGACACAAAGCTACTTCATAGTGTCCATTTTGTATTGGTCTTTTTTTTCAGTTCTTATTTCTAGAATATTCAGTGTGAATGAGACCTGTGGGGTTTTCTGTGTTTTGTGACTGTACTTTTTTAAACAGATGAAATTGCTGGGTGAGTGCAGCGGGAGCATTGATTCAGTGAGGAGATTGGGGCGCAAGCTGAAAGAAGAAGAGGAGAAGTTATCTGGGTTCATTAACCTGAATAGCACAGAAACACAAACATCGGTAAGTAGCACCGCCCTGAGAAGAGAGAGGGAAATGGGATACCCTGAAGCCCTTCAAGCTCTGAAACAATGAACATTTTCCAAGTACAGGTTCTGATACCCATTCCTGGGATTTTGCACTAGTCAGTACTCTGAGCTTCTGTCATCACCATGATGATTGCCTGGGGGAGAGGGAGAGGTAAAGAACACTGTGTCGATCCATCCCATGCTCCAGGCTTCCAAATGTGTCATCTCCCTCCTGATATTCACATATGTTGTTCATGTCCCACCCAATCTGATTCAAATCAATAAACATGTATTAAATGCCTACTATGTACTAGGCACAGTACTAAGCACAGGAAATACAATTAATAAAAAGAAAGATCGTCTGTACTGTCAAGGAGCTTACTAATGGAGGGAGAGATAACACACAAAAGGAGGTAGAAAAGTAAGGGTACCCAGGGTTGGGGCATCTTGGGCTGTGTAACTGAAACCAGGCAGAGCAGCAGATGCAAAAACGCAAATAGAAATGGGGTCCCATGATCCGTACATAGGAAGGAAGGAAAGAAAGAAAGAAGCATTTATTAAGTACCTATCATATGTCAGGTACTATGGCAGGTGCTTTCTAAATACTATCTCAGTTGATCCTCCCAACAACCCTGTCAGGTAGGGATTGTTATTATTATTCCTATTTTATAGTTGAGAAAACTGAGGCAAGCAGAGTTTAAGTGACTTGCCCAGGTTCACACAGGTAGTAAGTGTTTGAGGCCTGATTTGAACTCAGGTCTTCTTGGCTCTAAACCCAGTGTTCTATCACCTAGATGTCTTAGAGGTCATAGAATCTAACCCACTTATTTCATAGAGGAGGAAACCGAAGCACAAAGGTGAAATGAATTGCTCTGAACCACACAATGAATGTGTCTGAAGAGGAATTCAAACCCAGGTCTTCCTGACTCCAGGTCCATTGCTTTATCATGGCACCATGCTGCCCGTCCACTTGCGATTCATCTTTGTCTCTAGTTCTTGATTGGTTTTGCTATTCTTTTAGTTTCAGGTGCTACATGTGGCAGGTCTCAGTGTGTTTGCCCAAAATGTCCACGTGCTAATGAATCTCACATCCCCACACTGCCCTGCTTTAGGTGTGATTGATCGATGGGAGCTGATCCAGGCCCAGGCCCTGAGCAAGGAGCTGCGAATGAAGCAACATCTCCAGCAGTGGCAGCAGTTCAACTCTGACCTGAGCAGCATCTGGGCGTGGCTGGGGGAGACGGAAGAGGAGCTAGAGCAGCTTCAGCGTCTGGATCTCAGCACTGACATTCAGACCATCGAGCTCCGAATCAAAAAACTAAAGGTAGCTTTAAGAAAAAATACAAAAAACTTCAGCCTTGCCTTTTCTGTTCATATCCATAATCTTTCCCTTTAACCACTGCACCATTGGACACTCCCTCAGAACTATACCTATGGTGTTAGAAAAGGTCAACAGACACAGCAACCACATGTCTGACACGCGGTCCCTCGCCTCCACTCCCTACCCAGTCCACCTAGAGAGGAAGAAAGACTATTCCCTCCTCAGTTGTCCAGGACTGAGAATATTAATTATCATTTATCATAATTGCTTTTAGTGCTATTAGCCTTTACATTATTGTAGGCATTGGGAAGATGACTTTCTTGGCCCTGCCTTCCTCATTTTGAATCATTTCCTGCAAGTCTGAAGGGAGCCTTCTTTCAAATGGCCTGTAGTCAGTCAACTAGACATCCATGAAACATGAAATTCCCATTTATAAGGAATTAATAATCATCATAGTTACAATGTAGGCTGTGAGGGTAAAAAGAAAAAGTCTATTAAAGCCAGAAATGAGCTTCAAGAACACTTTGTTCAATGGGGTCATTTTGCAGATGAGGAAGCTGAGGCCCAGAAAAGTGACATCATAGGACTACTAAATGGTAGTGATTGAACTCAAACCCAGGTCATACAGTAAGTGAAGGGGTGTCTAACTCGGAAGTCCATTGTTCTGTGTATTGTATCTTAGTAGAAAGAATGCTGATTTTGGCCTCAAAACTTCTCAGTTTGAATCTTGTCTCTTATACTCCCTACCAAGGCAGGGAGGTAGCATGGTAAATAATATGCTAAGCCTTGAATCACAAAGACCTGAGTTCAAATTCAGCCTCAGACAGTTATTAGCTCTGTGACCTTGAACAAGTCATTTAACCTCTGTTTGCCTCAGTTTTCTCATCTGTAAAATGGGAATAACAATAGCACCTATCTCTCAGGGTTGTTGTAAGGATCAAGTGAAATAATAATTGCAAAGCTCTTAGCAAAATGATTGGCACATAGTAAGCGTTATATAAATTTTTGTTAAAATAGTGATAATAATACTCTTATTACTTTGTGACCTTAGGCAATCATTATTATCTATTATTATATAGAATTATAATTATTATATTATTATTGCTTATTATTGTATAGTCTTATAGCTATCAATCATATTATATAGTTATATAGTATATATAATTGTGTTATTATTTATTTGTATTATGTAGTAGTATCACATATAATAATAATAATATTATTATTATTACCTTGTGACCTTGGGCAAACCATTGGCCTCAACTTTCTCATATATAAAATGAGGAGGTTGTATTTAGTGATCTCCAAGGCTGGTTGCAGTTCTAAATCTGTGACCCTATAACTGTCACAAATAAATAAGATGAATCATGCCTTGAGATCATGACATAGATTATGATTTGCTTAATGATTTGCTCAGGAAGAAATAAAATTGCAAATGAAATCAAGAAACCGAGACTTAGTGATTGGTCTAGTGACTTTGTCCTGGTCATATAATAGCAACCATCTTGATAATAGCTTTTTCAATACCTGCTGAAAATGATAATGGCCAGAAGCAGTAATGTGAAGAAGGGTGTGAAGTCAGCCTGTAAAAACAGGTAGAACCCAGCCCAGGGAGGGCTTTAAATGGCAAATAGCTGAGTTTGTGTTTTATCTTGAAGGTGATAAGGAACCACTGAAGTTTATTGAGTAGGGGAGAGGCATGCTCAGACTTGTGATTTTGGAATATGTGTGTGTGTGTGTGTGTGTGTGGATGATAAATTGAAGAGAGGCAAAGACTTGAGGCAGGGAGAACAATTAGGGGGCTTTTGTAATCGTCTAAGTGAGAGGTAATGAGTGCCTAATTTAACAGAGGAAACCAAGGCCAACAACAGTTAAATGATCTGCCTGAGACCACACTGGTCATAAATGGTGGAGAAAGATTCCAAACCAAGGACTCCTGACTCCAAGTGCCACACTCTTTCAGCTATACCACTGGTGGCCAATGGGTCTGACAAGGATACAGAGATGAAAGATACTGTGAGGGTAGAATGGACAATTCTTGAAGTTTGAATGTAGATTGAGGGTGGGAGGGGCAAGAAGCAAAAAAGAAATGTTGAGGATAATTCTGAGCTTGCAAACCTATGCAAGTGGAAAATTGGGAATACCCTGCATAGAAAGAAGGATATTGGGAGGAAGAGAAAACAGCAAGTTCTGTTTTGGACAAACTGGGCTCTAAATAATCACGGAATACCTAATAGAGATGTCCAGCAGGTGATTAGTACTGTGCTGTTAGAGCTCAGGAGAGAGATGAGATATACATATATGTAAATTTAGGGTTCATCTTTTAGGTGATGATCATTAAACCCATCTCTGTTGAGTTCATTAAGAGAGTATATGTTGTTGTTCAGTCCATTTCTAGTCATGGCTGATGCTTCCTGTCCCTATTTGGGGTTTTCTTGATAAAGATACTAGAGTGGTTTGCCATTTTCTTCTCCAGCTCATTTGACAGATGAGGATACTGAGGCAAACAATGTTAAATGGCTTGCCAAGGGTCACATAGCTAGTAAGTGTCTGAGGTCAGATATGAACTCAGGTCCTCCTGACTCCAGGGTTGGCATTCTATCCATTGTGGCACCTAATTGCTCTAAGAGAGTATATAAAGAGATAATAAATGAGGGTTCAAGTCACAATCTTGGGGGACATCCATATTTAGTGCATAGGAAATGAATGATAATCCTGCAAACATAACTGAGAAGGAACAGTTATACAGGATGAAAAAGAAGCCAGAGACAACAATACCAATAAAATTAAGGGAGGAAAGGCTATACAGAAGGAATGGATGATTGACAGTGTGATAAACTGAAGAGAAGTCAAGAAGGGTGAAAACTGAGAAGTCATTAGAGTTAGCAATTAAGAGATGTTCAGTAACCTTGGAAAGAGCACATTAGATCAAAAATGGTATGAGAAACTAGACTGAAAAGAGTAAAGATGGGAATGACAGGGGCGGATATAGAATCAACAAATGTAGACAGTTTTTAGTAGGAGTTATTACTGAGAAGAAATGCAAAACAGATATAATAATTTGAAGGGGGCAACTAGGTTGCATAGTGGATAAAGTGTTGGGCCTAGAGTCAGAAAGACTCCTCTTCCTGAGTTCACACCCAGACTTAGACATTTGCTAGCTGTGTGACCCTGAGCAAGTCACTTAACCCTCTTTGCTCATCTGCAAAATGAGCTGGAAAAGGAATTGAGAAACCACTCCAATATCTTCACCAAGAAAACCCCAAATGAGATCAGGAACAGTCAGACATGACTGGAAACAGCTGAACAACAGTAAAAGTTTAAAAAGATGGTAAGATCAAGTGAAGGGTTTTTCAGGAAATGGGGAGAGCGGCATGTTTGTAGGTGGCAGGGGAGGACCCACTATATAAGGAAAAATTAAAAATTCAATTTAGACAGGGGGGAAATCTATGGGATAAGCGCCAAAGGAGACTGAAGAAAATAATCCCAAGGGAATAAATAGAAGGGCCTAGCATTGCATAGGAGAAGCATTGACTTGTCTTCAAAAGCTGAAGCTAAGGAGAGAAAGCCTTTTGCCAAGATGGAGAAAAAAGAGATGGTACAGGTCAGTTGTGTCAAACTCACATAGAAAGAGGGGCCTCTAAACCATACGTATGTACCCTTATAAACATAGAAAACCATATGTTAAAATTATATATAGTTTGTTTTTATTATTTTAATTTTTAATTTTATTATACATATATATTTTAATTTTGTTAAATATTTCCTAATTACATTTAATCAGGATCGGGCTGCATGAGGCAGCCTGGAGTTTAACATCTCTGGTGTAGCTGACTGCAAAAGTGAATGTATTTGGAATTACTGCTGTGAGAGTTTTGCAATGAGTTAATTGGTGTAGGGTGTAGATTCCTAAACACTACATGATTCTTCTTACCCCAAAAAACTTTAAAGCTAAAAGTGTTTCCAGTAGGTGTTGAAGTAACATAACCAGCATCTTAAAGCATCTCCTACCTATTAATCTCCTAAAGATGATTTTTTTAAAATCTGAATTATCTAAGGCCTTTTTTCTAAGTAAATTATTTCAAGTTGTCTGTGAAATATAGGAACCAATCTTGCTATTGCAACCAGATCCATAGAAATGGCATGAAAATAAGGATGTTGCCTTAGACCTCAAAGAAATCAGGCCAGAGCTAATGGTGAGCTTGATGCATGACTGCTTTGCTTCTCTGTACTATTCCTTTTCCATTTTTCCCCCCTTGGAATCTCTTTATGGGTCAACTCTATGGTCTTTCAACAAGTAGATTTTCATGATCCCTTTGACTTCCTTTTACATAATGCTTGCAATGATAGAAAACTGAAAAATTCAGACGCTATATTTCTTATTTTCAAAGAGCCAGAGAAATAATTTGTTTCAGGGTTGGTTGTTTGGGTTTTTTTGTTTGTTTTCCAACAAATTGAACTGATTGACAGATAAAATTACTAATTTGGCTAATGGCTTTGGTATTATGTAGACATAATTCTTAGCCTATTGATATGGAAGCCAGAGATGAAAGGTTGACTTACTGCTGACACAAATGAATTTTGGAGAACCTGAGGATGATGATAATAATGACAATGATGATGAAGAGTCACATTTATATACTATTTTATAGTGGCACTGGACTCATAACCTTGCTGTGATATAGGAAATAAGTAGTATTGTCTCCAATTCACAAACCTAGAGGACATACTAGGTAGAACACTAAACCTGGAGTCAAGAAGACCTGAGTTCAAATGTGAGGTATGAGAAAGAGGATTAGATAGATGGTGTAGAGGCAGATATGACAAAACTTAGCAATTGCTATGGGTACTGAGTAAGAGTAAGGAATACAGGATTAGTCCTAGGTTGCAAACCTGAGTAACTGGAAGAATGGTGATGTTCTCAAGAGAAATAGGGAGGATAGGAGGGATTGGTAGGTTTAGGAGAAAAGATAATGAGTTCAATTTTGGATACATTAAATTTGAGATATCTGTGGGGCATCTGGGTAGCTGGTGAAGTAGGACTTGATGTTGAGAAATAAATAAGGACCAGAGATGTAGATTTGGAAATCATCTATATAGGGCTGAGAGTTGAACTCATGGGAGCTGATAAAATCACTAAGAAAAAGAAGAGGTTCCAGTGATCTTGGGGTGTGCATCTCATTCAAGTTCATTTTGATTTTTGTCTTGGTTCATCTTTATAGGAGCTTCAGAAAGCAGTTGATCACCGCAAAGCCATCATCCTTTCCATAAATTTGTGCAGCTCAGAATTCACACAGTCTGATAGTGAGGAGAGCAAGGAGCTCCAAGAGCGATTGGCCCAAATGAATATGCGCTGGGACCGAGTGTGCAGTTTGCTAGAAGACTGGCGTAGCTTACTGCAGGATGCCTTAATGCAATGTCAGGTTTGTATCAGGCTTCCTTCCAGCCTCGAAAGTCACCAAGGAACATCTAGCAAAAAGTTCCTTCCCTCCCACCTCATTACTCAAAAGACAGAGTATTTTTATGAGTATCATAATTTTCTGGGCTCTACAAGTACAAAATACTTGCAACATGTCCCTGGAGAAAACAGTCCCTGATTTAGATGTATGTGTGTCAGATTTTAAGTTAACAAGATGACAATTTCTCCCTAAAACTAATGTGAATATGATTACTTCTGTGACATAATTCTTCCCTTCAATATGGTATTTTTAGGTATAAATCTAATCAGAGATTGCAGATGTCCAGGTCTTATCACATTTTTGTTTTGTTTTTGTCTTTTAGTCAAAGGCCTATTACCAAGCCCTTTCCTTCAAAACCACACAAAAGTACCAGGTCTGAGAGCTTACGAAATCCCATATGATTTGAGGTCCTAAATGCACAGAAGTAACACTTAGATATTTCAATGCCTAGAAAGATGCGTGGGTTCATCACAATTGGTACTCCTTCCACTTTATATTTCAGTCTCTGCATGCGTTAGTAGATGGATTGGCCTCAAGTTTCATCATCAGACAGCCAAACTTTGGGTGACGTGTCTCCACATTAGCTAAACTGCTCCTTTTATGAAAAGATGTGGATAGGTCTGTATTTCAAACCTTTCAAACTTAGTAAGACTCATTTCAGCTCATAATCATTAACTGTATCAGTGGTGTCTAACATTTGCATGGCACTTTAAGGTCTACACAATGCTTTACATATAACCTCATTTGATCTTTACAATCCTGTGAAGTAGGTATTACAATCCCCATTTTACAGATGAAGAAACCGAGTCTGGAAGAGATTAATAATAATAAGTATCTGAAGCAGAATTTGAACTGAGTCCTTCCCAAGCCCAAGTACAAGACTCTATCCATTGTGCCCCCTAGCTGCCTAGCTTAGCTCGAGCTGGTACAGCCTTCCAGAAAGCATGGTCACCTCCATGACAGGACTTTTCATACTTCTGGCCTCTTGCTTCCAGTATAGCTGAAGGATTAAAAAGGGTTTCTATGGGATATTTGAAAGGCTAGTTTCATGGTTTCAGTAGTCTAAACAAATGAATCTCTTCTGTTCAACAAATACTAGTAGAGCATTCATTAGATGCATGGTAGTGTGCTAAGTGCTGTGGGGGACTCAAGGGAAGTAGAAGCCATGTCCCTATCCCCTAAGCCTAGATTAGTTTGTATAATAAAGCTACACACGTTAATTACTTATATAGCAAACTAATATAGCACATGAATAAGTATCCCAATCATAAGTAATAATAATAATAATGATAGCTAACATTTACATAGCGCCTACTATATGGCAGGCACTTTGCTAAGCACTTACCCATATGATCTTGTTTGATCCTTACAACAACCCTGGGAGGTAGGTGTTATTATTATCCCCATTTTACAGTTGAGGAAACTGAGGCAGAGATTAAGTGATTAGCCAGGATCACCCAGCTAGTAAGCCTCTGTTTTGTACTCAAGTCTTCCTCACTCCAGGCCCAACACTCAATTCTATCCACTATTCCATCTAGCTGAAGGGAGTGTGGAATGACATTTCAGTTCAGTAAGCTACTATTAAACAATAGAATTAAATTAAATTAAACAATACTATTAAACAATACTATGGACAAGGCACTAGGCTAGACTCTACAGGCAACAAAAATGAAAAACAACACAGTCCCTATACTCCAGTTCCTTACAGAAGCAATACTATATATTTACATCTAAGGTTAATACAGGATAGAATTTTGAGGGGGAAAAAGAGAAAGCTAAACAAAGCATGGTTGGAATATTAAAGAATCAAAGAACACTCTGGTGAAGGAGGGGAAAGTGTCATAAAGGAGGTGATTCCTCAACTGAGCCTTGGAGGAAGAAAAGGATTTTGACAAGTAAAAATGACATTAACAAGGTATTCGAAGGCTGCAGAAATGCATGCAGCATGACAGTTGATGAAGCTGCCTTCTTAGAATGGAACTACTGAAAAATTACAACAATAAAGGAACTTTATGTAGTACTCTAAGGTTTACAAAGTGCTTTCCAACATTATTTTGATGGGTCTCTCCAGGCTTCACAATAATCTTTTAAGGCAGCTCTCAAAGGAATTATCATCCCTTTTCTATATTACGTGAGCAGTAGGTGTTAGAGAACATTATTTGAAGTTAGGTCTTTCTGTCTCTAACTCCAGCACTCTGTCAAATATGCTAAGCTGCCTCTCATGTTAAGTAATTGAACTGAATAATGATTATGGTCATGTTTGTGTGTCCATCAGTACACACGCATGGGTATAAGTGTTTATGTGTGGCAAGAAAGGGACTAGATGCAAGAGATATTGTGGAGTAGAATTAATAGAACTTGGTAACTGATGAGATGTGGGTATGGTAAGGGTGAAGAAAGAATCCGGGACAACTCTGGCAGTTCAGAACCTGTGTGCCTGAAAGGATGCTGGTGTTTTAAAGGTGAGATAAGCTTTGAATAAATGACAAGAAGAATATCTTCTTTCCTTGGTATCTAAACATAGTGCTGTTCTTTTAGCCATTAAACATATAGATTCCAGTTTTCCTGTATCTAAATTACCACCAGGTAATAAGTTAGAGGAGGAAGCTGGTGACTCAGTGGATAGAGCACTGGGCCTGGAGTTAGGAAGACCTGAATTCAAATCCAGCCTCAGACATCTCTTAGCTGTGTGACTTTAGGCAAGTAAGTCACTTAACGTCTGATTGCCTGAAAAAGGGATCCATTAGATTCACTGGAGAAGGAAATAGCAAACCACTCTAGTATCTTTGCCAAGTAAACTCCATGAACAGCTATGGTCCATGGGTCATGAAGAGTCGGACATGACTGAATGACTGAACAACAAAATAAATTACATACACACCAAATCATTTGGTGTTAGAACAGTAATAATAATCTCATATATGGAAAGAATGATATGTATGCCATTAAAATGAAGCTGCTAGGAGAAGGCAGTCCATTAAGTACTAGCCAGGTGCAGCAATTAAAGAAGAAACATGTGACCAAAATCTGCATGTAGATGTGGGTATGCGGGCAGGTGGGTTGAAATGACTCGTCATGTATTGCTCAAGGTCACTGTAGATTCTCTTTTTCTTTTTATAGGATTTCCATGAAATGAGCCATGGATTGCTTCTGTGGTTGGAGAACATTGACAGGAGAAAAAATGAAATAGTTCCTATTAATCCAAACCTTGACTCAGAAGTACTTCAGGACCAACACAAGATGCTTATGGTAGGATGTTTGACTCCAGCCTCTGGGAGAGATTTAGAAATCTTTTTGGTTTCTTTAGTTTTTTTCATTTCACTGGAAAGAAGGATTATACAGAATCCAGTATTCTACCCTTTGTGCTTTAGTCTCTAAGTTCAAGCCCTGTTAGTGCCAAGTTATTTTTTACAGCTAAGTATATCCACAGGGCATGCCACCGACTGGAATTGAATTTCAGAGTTCTTGGTTCAATTTGTAAAATGTCTGTGACTGCCCTTTCTCTTACTCACTTATTTATTGGTGGGGGGAGGGAGGGATAGGGAATAGTGGATTTTGGTGGCAATGCATTCTTGTCTTCCATTAAGAGAAAATGTTTTTGTGCTAGCAACTTTCTGCATACCTGAAAAGGTTATATCTCATTTACAATCTATTAACTTAACCTAAGGACTTAGTAACTATCAATTGAATGCTAATACAAATCTTGGAAACTACATAGTTTTACCACTGCATTTTCCCCTGCATTATTGATGATAATGATCACCTCTGGAGTTTAGACAGCTCCAAGCATGGAACACACTCCTACCAGACTTTACCGGGAACACCCTCACTCCTTTAGCCAGCATTAGTCATTAAGTGGTAAACGATGTATCTTCCATCCATCTTAAAAATGTTTGACTATACATCAGGAATAAAAAATTGGCCTGAATAATTCCTATATTCACAGCTGGAAGGTTTTTCTTTAAAAATAAATTTATAGCAAAAAATTACTATGGATCTATGTAATGCTTTATATTTTTAAAATCTTTTCTCATTCATTGACACATATGATCCTCACAACAGCCTTGTGAGGTAGGTAGAATCATCATCCCCCTCTTGCACACAGAAAACCTGAGGGTGAGATAGATGTGGTGATTCGCCCAAGACCATGCAGCAAGTTGTGATGAGTAAAACTATCACCTAGTACTCTTTGCTCCCATCCCAATCAGTGCTCTTATTGCTATGCCATCATGGTGACCTTTCTACTTGCATGTATGACATTCCATTGCATGGGCACAGAACTGTCCTAGATTAAAAAGCTATTTTTCCAAGTTTTAGGAAACTGTCTATTGAAAAGTATAGGGGGAAAATGACATTTTACTATGTAAATAGCAAATCAGACGCGAGTTGCTGGAGTCTCAACTAAAGGTGGCATCACTGCAAGATATGTCCTGCCAACTCTTAGTTAATGCTGAAGGAAAAGACTGTTGGAAGCCAAAGAAAAAGTCCATGTCATTGGAAATCGACTTAAACTTCTCTTGAAAGAGGTTAGTCGTCATATCAAGGACCTCGAGAAGATCTTAGATATATCAAGCAGTCAACTGGTAAGTCTCTGATTCATCCATATGCAAACAGCTTAGTTCCCCTTCAGTTGCTGTATAGTTTGTGTCTAGAAGAGAAAATCTCCATTTAAACTGAGTGTCTTTAAATCCAGCTATTAAAAAAAATCAGAATGGGAAGGGCCTGATATAATGGACTTAGTGATTTGTTAGGTCCAAAAGAAAAATTGTTTTCACTCACAAAGGGATAACAGAACCCAACTATATTTTTTTTATGTATAAGTACCAATCACCTTAGGAGCAAAATTTCTGCCAGGAACACAGAGAGTCCATCTTTGCCCCAGTCCTCTCTTTTTCTCTTTGTCAAAGAACCGATTAACTGTAGCATGCAAATTACTTGGCTCCCTCTAGGGCTGAGAAATTAATTGCTTGTAGAAAAAGAAAGAGAGAGAGGGAGGCAGAGAAGGTGTATTGTTAAAAGATTCATTTGTGAATTCCTGTCATGAGTATACAAGATCTCTTATTCTTTTATAAGCATATAAGCATATATCTTAAGCATATAAATCTATCCCAAATAATTTGTAAGCATATAAATCTATCCCACATAATAGCAATGGCAGAAATAACATAATATCGTTGACACCACAAATGGATTACTAGGTGCTTTTGTCACAAATCCCAGATGAGTGAGATTCCCTCAGGGTCTAAGCCACTGCCTAGCTGTAAGTCTGTCATCTTTCACAAGCCATGTTTATTGTTGTACAACATAAAATCATAAGATCACTAAGGAAATCCCCAGTAGGGTTGAAAAAAATTTTAAGATAATAAATTGGCCTATAAAATGTTCAAGAGAAATAGATTTTCTTTGGAGCGCATTTCAAATTCTGGTCCTAAGGACCTCACTATTGGAATCTATAGTTTATTAAAATGTACTAAAAGTCTGAGATTCCCACACCCTAACCCTTGGGCTGGTGATATTCAGAGAGTCCTGAGATTTGTCTAATCAAATTCAATCTTGCACATAGGATTTATCCTCTTGGTCTTCTGCTGATGAACTGGACACCTCGGGATCTGTGAGTCCTGTGTCAGGAAGAAGCACCCCAAACAGACAGAAAACGGTAAATTGATAGTGGCTATCTTCTACCAGCTCTAGGGAGGACACACTAGGAAGTAAAAGGATTTGCAGCCAAAAACAGGGTTCACAGCATTTTCTCGAGGGAAAAGCAAACAATGTCTCTTCCTTCCCCCATAAGAGGTTTTCCTATAGTTTAATATTGCTTCCTTAATCCTGCTGCATTTCTACCATGCATGAAATTAGTAATGGAAGATAGTATCTTTATTTTTAAATTAAAAAAAAATCAGGGCTCAAAGTGTGGCTGGTGTGCAGGATATTTTTGTTGCTCAAATGACCAGTTCTAGCAGGGTCTTCATTGTGCCTTTGGCAGTTTGTCTCCTCTTTACCCCTTTACCATTATTTTTTTGGCTAAAAGATCAGGCTGCCACCTAAAAAAGACTCATCAAAACTTTTTTTTAAAGTCTTAATAAGGCTCTTGATTTAGTGAGCCTAATGATTTTATTAAAATATTTATAAATCTGCCTTATAAGGTTGTAAAATTCTTAAGTGACCAGGTAAGCTGTTCTCCAAAGATACTCCTGGCTTGTGGCCTAGAAGACTTGTGAATTGAGCGGTGGCTCTCTGGCCACCTGCTTCAATGCAAGTGATGCCTATTTGCCCATGGGCACTCCTGAAACAAATGAAAATCAAATCAAAACAAAACAAAACAAAAAAGCTAATTCTGTCCCTGCTGCCCTTTATACCTTGATCTTTGTATGTAACAAGAGATTTTTTTTGTCCTGCTTTATGGTTCCATTGGTTTTTATTATTATCCCATTCTCCTTAGTTCTTAGAATAATATTGATTTCATTTGCACATTTTATAAGCATCTAAGTTCTGTCTTGGTGAGCTTTACGATCTTTTTAAAATTGATTTTTGCAACATTCACTAGTTTCCTGTAGATCATAGTTTCAGAATGTGAAGGAACACTGGCTTTTCAGTAATTTCCATTTCAGCCTCTAGAATGAGTATTTAACTTGTTTGTTCTTTAAATTGCTTTTTATAAGGCATCCTCATGTTAATGTTTTATTAATCTACCAAGAAGGGGAAAATGGACACCTCAGCATTCTAGAAGGTGAAAAATACAACTGAATGAGATGATAAAGTAAACTCATATAAAATTTAAGTGGACAAGAATTTAGTTAAAAAACATGCCAACTAGAAATCTATTATATTTATCTTTGTCATCTGGCTATTTGGTTTATGTGCTTTACAACCCCATTCATTTATGTCCACATACACATTTTCCAGGCCGGACTCTAAAGGGTCCTTTGTTTGCCTTGAAAAACAGTATAGATGAATACTCAGAACTTCTTGCATAATGTGAATAAATTCTTAAATAATGAATAATCTATAACCTATACCAAAACATATAACTAAAAACTAAAATAAAATAAAATTGTGCCACTACTATGGACGTGGTCGGAGTAATAGATTTCATGGATCTTTTATAAATGCTAAGCAATTTGGACGTTCATTTCATTTGTTCAGCAGAAGAAAAGCCAGTTTCCTTGGTTCATGGGTATTGATCACTTCATTTGATTTGTGTTTTCCTTTGCTGCACTTTTAGTTTAATTTTCATCAGTAGCTTGCCTTTATTTGCCTGGACTGAACATTCTTCTTTCTTTACCCCCTGTTCATTGCAAACAGCCACGGGGCAAATGTAGTCTCTCACCGCCTGGACCCTCTGTCAACAATCCACATAGCAGGTACCTTATTCTCCTGGTTTCCACACTGTTCTAGAACTGCAAGAGGATGATGGAAAATGCCCTAATTGGGGCCAACCTGCATATAATCTGCCCTCAGAGGAGTAAAGGAATTACTTATTTTAGAAACACCCTTGCCCTCAATAAGCAGGTTGGCAAAAGTTTGGGTTCCTTTATGTATACCAAAATACTGGTGAATTTTACAGCACAAAGCTCTTGGTCCTCACACACACAAAAGAAAATCATTCTCCAACACAGGGACCATTCTGATATACCATGCTAGATGGTGATCCTTTATATGTGTAACATAAAGACCATGTAGCTGACTAGAACATAACACCATGGCATTCATGGCAAATAATTTTTATCATCCTCTTAGTTCTAGATTTTACATTAAGACAGGTGATCGAACAATGCAATATTTTACCATTTACAGAACCCACAAATATGAATAAAGCATACTAACACTCTCCCCCTTCCCCACTCCCAGCTTTTGATTTTTTTTTTTAACATTTTATTCAGTTTGTGGGTTTTGGGTTCTGGAGATTCTAAAAAATGAAAAGTCAGAATTTGGGTAACTTCATCTAAAAATCCTTAGCACCTTATCTCTTTGGCATTGCATTCTGCTCCTCTGCTATCAACCCATTAAGTCATTAACTGTCCTTGACACTCAGCAGAATGCTTCCATCTGCTTCACTCGGGGAGCAAGACCAGTGTCCACTACTCTGTGACCACTAGAGAGCAGACTTACAGCTGCCGCTTTTTGCTTTTCACTTTGTCTCCAGTAGTCTTATCATTTCTGCAG